GTCTCCCTCCTTGAGAAAATGCAGCCTACAGTCCTGACCTGCTTTGGAGTCTTTCTCCCCCAGTTTCCCCGGGCGGTTTACATGCCTGCCTTCCTCTGGTAACACACGCATGCACACTCTCCAGCTCCTCTCCCTTGTTGCCGATTTGGTTTATGCCTGCTTCTCTTCAACTCTTGTAAAAAAGGCTGATAAGTATTATCAGCTCATTCAGGATGGTTTTTTTGTGTTTCTTATAAGTGCAGCTCCATGCCGTTTATGGTAGAAGCTGTGCTTCCTAGATCTAGAGAGCAAGATCATTCGATGCCAGTTGCTTAAAAAAAAAGAAAAAAAGAAAAGAAAAAAAAAAGGCAAACAAGTTGATGTGTTTAAGAGAAATATCCTTAGTAACATTTGTTTAAAAGTAATAAATACCAAGTGATGAAGGTTTTCTGTAAGCACCATCTCTGAGGAAGAAATATTTTACTTTGATCAACTGAAACATTCTGACAGAGTAGAAAATGCTCTTTTCATGGAATGGTAAAACATTGAAGAGCAAAAGTTGAGAGTCTTAATTCTTCAGACACTTTGATAAAGATAAGTAATTGTCTGTGCAATTATTTTTGAGATTCTGTATCCGGTCAAATTTTTCAGGTCTCCCTTGAAAGACAAGAATGTATAGCAAAGATTTTTCCATTTGAAGGTGAAGGTGCAGTCAGTTCCAAGATGGATAAGGTATTAACAAGAACGAGGTACAGCCAGATATTTGGGGGTACTTCAAGAAGTAGTTTGTGAGTCCCTCTGTTTAAATACTAGAGATGGTGTGTGTGCTCCTGTATTCCCATCCTGTGATCAGAGATGAAATTGCCACCATCAAAATCCTCTTTAGCTGTGTAGGACTTTTCAAGCACAATGGCAAGAGATGAGCCACGTTCCAGTATATATCAGCCCTAGTCTGTACCATGTTTGAAGATGACTTTTGCCAGTTTTTACCTCAGCTGGAAATTGGTAGCTTTGTGAGAGATGATTCTAGAGAAGCTAACAGCAGATTTGCTACGTAATTCAAATCCCCCTCTTCTTCACCATCCCACTCCTCTTTTTGAAGGGCCTATATTGTGATATGTTAACACCCGAGTTTCTCTCTTTTATGAAAGGGGTTCCAAAGTGGAAAAAGTTGTAAAATGTACAGAGAGAAGAGATTTTACTAAAGGCAGTTCCTAATTCAGGAAGAGAGAGACTTAAGATCCTTTTTCTTCTTTCTCATACTAGTTTTCAGAAGATTGAATTAATTGGTGAGGATGTTTTGATTCCATGTACTCAATATTCTGATTTCTTTCTCCCTATACTCTTTCTGCACGTTCTTTTGTAACATATAACAAAGTGAACTTGGGTCCATGAAAGCTTATGCCCTTTACGTGCATCTTATTCAGTTAGTCTATAATGGTGTGTATCTACCCTGCCATCTTACTCTGTAGCCACCCCATCAAACATAACTGTTTTGTATGTAGAAAGAACCATTTCCAATAAAAGGTGGACTTTCTACTGCACCGGGAGTTTGTTCTTTATTGTCTGTTAATAATGGATGGATGCAGATATCAAGAGAGAGGATCATTGTTTACCCTTATTTAGAATGATTAATCAAGGTGTCCTTAGAAAATAGTTGTAATGCAGATGTGTTCCCTGTCTGCTAATCTAGATCTTGGAAGCATTTGTATGAAGTCTCTTGAATAGGTACAGAAAAGAACCTCTTAATAAGAACTCCTTTGGCTGTATGTTTAGGCAAGTCAGCTGTGCCAGAAGAGAGAGCGAGCTGTAAAAATGGCCATTTATATCCTCCTCCATTAATTGCTAAAGTAGATGATTCTCTTCTAAATTAATAGGTTTCAAAGCCTTGACAATGTATATACTATTTTATGTTTGCCTACAAATAAGGACTTTATAATATTAGCTAGTGACATTTAGAAACTTAGTAGAGACAGCATGCTTTAAAGATTGGTGCTGCCTCACATGATGACACTGTTACTGAGATGGTTTGCTCAGTAACTCAGCACAATGAAGGGAGTATCCTGCAATCCTCCTGTGTTATCACTGCATCCAGCATAGGTTATAGAAGTTCTGATGAATGCTAGTACAAGAATAATGGACACCTTCGGAGAAGAGCATGCGTATCAGCTTTCTGGAATTGAGAACTATTAGCCTATAAAGTCCTTTTGCCTCATTAATTATAGGTTTGTTCTGGTTGTTATGGAAAATGGCAACTTCTATGCACAATGTGAACAAGGAGAGATGCTCATTCATTTCAGTTATATGAGCAGATGGTGGCTTTTCAGGATTGCTGCACGCACAACAAAATATCATCTATTGAGCAACGTCCTGAGAAGTCAGTTTAGCAGAGGTGTCAGATATGTAAGCAGACTCTGAAGACATAAGTGCTGAATTATATCTCCATAGTATTGACGTAGACTTATTTGCTTCCAAGCACAATATGAAACGTCAGAGTCTTGTTTGCAGATGGGAAGTAATAGAGGATCCATAGTGGATGCATTTCTGATAAATGGGCCAGGATCTTCCCAGCATTTCCCCCTTTACTTCTTATGAAGAAGGTTTGCAGAAAGTTTCAACAGGACAGAGCCAAGATAATCTATTTTGCCTGTCCAGAGAAGTCTTCCAAGCACTTCCATTTCTTCCATACTTATTATCACAGCCCCAAGAGATATGTGTTCATTGCACTTCGTTATTTATGTAATAGGATTTTCAGTTTTGAAGCAGTAGTCATCCTAGAAGTACAAAATATTTTGGTTTAATTCAAAGAAATAATCCATTCACAAAGGAAATGATTATTGTGGACAAGTAGTAATGATTCCAGTTCTGTCTGTTTTGGCTCAAACCTTAATCTTTCTGATCTTGTCATCTTTCTCATGTTGTCATTAATAAGGTTCACCTATGGGCTATATTGGCACACCATAGTGCACTGGTTTGCTCCTGGTATGTTTTAAGGAGTTTTTTTTTCTAGCAATTTTTAAATCTATACATGCTGCTAAAATCTCATATTAGGGTATGAAAGTAGTCTTTACTCATCTTATAAAACATACTTTTGAAACAATGGATTAATGTATTTTTGTATATTAAAGCAGTTTTTACAATGTACTATCACCTCAGTGAGGATGAATAAATGAATAACAGATGCTAATGTCTGATATGCCATTTGCTGTCTTTCATGAAGGCAGAATGGTATTACAACCTTGTTCAAGAGTTTTTACATAAGGTGGTTTCAAGACTTCGTGTTTGAGGTGGTGAATCATGTTCTTCCCCTACATCAGTAATCTTGTGGGTGTAGAAAGGTCATATTGCACATGATAGATGCTAAAAGACCATTTTAGCATATTACTTGAACAGGATTATACACTATGGACCACCATCTGTCAGGCTTCTTAGATCTGGTCTACATTCTGTGATTTTGCTAATAGACTTTTGCCAGCAAAATGGAGTGTGCATGCACATTCAGAGCTGCCCTGCAGCAGCAATGTCTTTTTTTTTTTCCAGCACAGAAAATACCATCTCGCAGAGCAGAAGACTGCTTCTGCCACCTGCTGGCAGACGGTACAAATAGATAAGCTCATGTTGTTTACTGGCTGTAATAGTCACTCTAACCACTCTCAAGGGTACACTTCACACCCCGCACACAGTGGATAAAGTGGAGCTTCCAGAAGCTGTGTGGGAAGAGACTCTTCACAGCTTCCTATGACTGTTGCTATCTGCCAGCAGAAGAATCCTCTGGATGTAGATAAGTCCTTAAAAAGAGGGAAGGAAGGAAAAGTTGGGTTTTGGTTGACTCATTCCACTAGTTTCAGTATGTAGAGCAGTTGCATGAGTTCTGTTCATACTTCTACCAAATGCTGTTCCCTAGATCTAACATCTAAATCAGATACTCAGACACTACTTGCCACTCTCTTCATTTAAGTGTGTTGTTATTTATCCACCTTTCCCATGACTGGGAATGTGTTGTGGATGCGTGACAAAATGAGTTGTTACTTATGTGTAATCAGAGTTGATTAAGGCAGACTCTGCAGATTCACATTCCCCACATATCCTAATTACCTGTAAGGGCCTGGGGTTTCAGGGAAGGGAGTTCAGGAAGCCAGAGTACCACTTCCTCTTTAATAGCTTTGCCTACAGAAGTAGGAAGGAAGAAAGAGAAAAGAAAGGAGACCACCGCTCTGGTGTATATTAGTTGTCAAGCTGCGACAGACAAAGAATCCTCTGAGTGACTATTCAGAGTCTACGCTGAAGTACCCTCCATGTATAGATAAGTAATCTGTCTTTAGCTTTAGCTGTCTGTATTTATTTAGTAGTATTAGAATGAAATTACTTTCATACTTGTCAAGTTTTTTTTACTGCTGTTCTGGGTTCTGAATTGCGTAGTGGAACCAAAGAGAGTCTTGTTTGTTTTACTCTAGTACTTTTAGTTAGAAGTAAAAATATAAATATTGGAGGTGTCTCATTTGGAAGTCAGGACTGCAAACTCTTGTATTTTTAAAAGTGGTCTATGAAGGCAAGATCCTTAAGAAAATAGCTTAAAGTATGCAGAACTTGATCAAATAAATTTCCCCTTAGATATTAGGTCCAGCTTCTTGTTCACCTTAGTAAAGTGCATTTTTCAAACCATTACCTTACGCAGAATCCAGATGATGTGTTACAGATTGCTGGCTAGTACTACAAGGTAGATTTCTAATATGCTGACAGTTTTTTATATGCTTCATGAACAGTGCATTTCTACATGGCAGTGGGTTACAAATGAAAAAGCTAAGGTTTGCGATATCAGATTACTTAATGGCTGCAGAACAGTTTTATTCCACTTTTTGTAAGATAAAATGTATAAATGTTACACTGCAATTTGAGTTCCTACATAATATGTAAATTGAACTTGCTGCATTTCATGATGCAAGTTGCATTGCTTCTAAATAGAAAAAACTGCTGGCCAGTTGTCTTTTCTTTAAAGCAGACCTTTTTCCCCCCCACTGCAGAGCTGCAGATTGTATGCAACAAAACATTTACGAGTATTGTTAAGAGCCAACGTAGAGTTCTTCAGTAATTGGGGGATTGAATTACTGGTGACCCAGCTGCATGATAAAAATAAAACCATTTCTTCTGAAGCACTTGATATCCTAGATGAGGCATGTGAAGATAAGGTAAGCATCATTTACTCACAGCTTCACAGATTTTTAGGAACACGTATTTTATTTCGTTTTTAAAAGTATCTAAAATCAGATAATCCTTTTTGAACAGTTTTGCTTTGCAAAATGTCTTGATTTCCATGCTGCACGTGTTTGTGTAAGGAACATTAGTGGACTATAGTAATTTATCCTAGAGCAGGGGCATCAGACACATGGCCTTAGAGCTGCTCTGCCTGGCCCACTAAACTATTGGTGGACTACTGGAAGTTCAGGGTGTACAACTTACTAAAGAATCCAGGGCCCTTGGGCCCAGGTGAACATGGCAGGAGGGTGCCCCCGCCTGTATCGAGCCCAGGTCACAAAGCCAATTTGATTCTCCTGCCCTAGAGGATGTTTTTATGATCTTGTTTTTGTATCTGTTAAATATTTGCTATCTCATGTGGCTCGTGGTAGTTATCACTATATTTAGTCTTCCTTGATAGTGTTCAGACCTTCCTTATAGGTCTTCATACCTGAAAAATTGTCTGTCTTCATTTTATATTCTGATCTGGTATGAATTTTTCTACTTTTAGGCCAATCTTCATGCCCTTATCCAAATGAAACCAGCTCTCTCCCATCTTGGAGACAAGGGTTTACTTCTCCTTTTAAGGTGAATATTAAATGCATCTTTTCACTTTAGAAAAAAACTATTATGTTGATGTTAAATGTATATGGTTTGATTTAGCTGGAGTATTCAGTGTCTGATATTACTTTACAGATTTCTGTCCATTCCAAAGGGGTTTTCCTATCTAAATGAAAGAGGCTATGTAACAAAACAAATGGAGAAATGGCAAAAGGTAATTCAAAGAAGGCTAACTGTGGACATATAGAATCTGCTTTTGAAGACGGGTGTGTGTGAACAGAGTTTTAAAAGCCATCAAGAACTATGAAAAATATTGGACATTCATACTTGTATAGTATTAATGGATAGACATTCTGTTTCAGTAATTAAGACCGTATCTGCACTCTTATTGAGATCTTCTCTTCTGTTGAGACTTCTGGCTCCTTTGGGCATGCTGTCACGATTTAGTCGAAAGAGAAACGCAACTAAAACTCTTGGTTCAGAGGTGATACCTTTTATTAGCATAACTAAAAAATAGCAAAAAAATTTCTTTGCAAGCTTTTGGGCACGCACACCCTTCTTCAGGCTGAGGAAAAATCAAAGATTTTAAAAATCCTCCTAGGTAGAAAATAAACTCCGTTTTGCACAGGGAAAGTTTTAGGCTGGAAGTATATTTCCCTGTGTCTGTGAGAGTCCTTTTGTGTGAGTTGTTCTTTGATTTAGTCAAAGCATGTTTTTGAGGGGGTTTATATTACATTAATTAAACCATTTTCCAAGTACCTCCACTTCCCTAAATGTACACAGTTGTACAACAGAGTTCTTTAAGAAAATGGTTGGCTTCCTGAATTATAAACAGAGGCTGATGCATAAAATCTCTAGAAAAATATTAAAAGAAATGTTGCCTTTCAAGACCACTCTCATCTTGTAGTTCTCAGTGGAAATGAAGCTCAGGTGAGTCCTGGCAAGGATCATATTACCCTATGCTCTAAATGGGAATGCATGTTTTTAGGCACCTCCTTAGAGCAGTGGGTGGTGACAATCATCGCAGTAATTCCAATAGAAGCAGTTCATGGAGTTCTCTATAGTAGATCATAATTCTCACCCTCCTAGGTAAGAAATTTTCATCTAGGAAAAACAGTAGTCAGTTTTCCCATGAGTCCAAATTTATTCAAAATTTTGAATTGTTGCAAAATTGTTAAAATAAAACTTGCATGCAAAATCTCAGTTTAAGCTGTTTAGAAAGTTTGGAGCAAGTATTTGGTGTTGGAAGGTATCACATTTGGACTTGAAGTAAGGTGCTAATTTACTTAAAGCAGGTATTTATAATTTTATGTTCTAAACTGATAACAGATTCACTTGTAAAATTTAAGAAAATTTGTTTAATTCCCAAAGTTATTTAACATGGGAAAGATGCAAAGTAAATTTGTTTTATAAGTTTGAATCCCCACCTAATGTATAAACCAACCTTAATTTTGAAGCCTTAAATTGTACTAGCATTCTGCAAATGATTTTCAGTGTAATGGGTTCAGCTTTGTAAGAGACTCTCCTATTTTCCTTTAAAGGAGTACAATTTAAAATACGTTGAATTGATTGAAGAACAACTTAATGAAGCACTTACCACTTATCGTAAACCTGTTGATGGTGATAATTATGTTCGTCGGAGCAACCAAAGGTAAAGTATCTTCCAAAGACTATTAATATATCCTTATAAATACATACACAAAGTGTGTTGTGATGGATTTTAAGAACATCATAATCATTATGCAAACAGACTGTTTCTCTTTTTCATAGATTACAGCGGCCACATGTCTACCTGCCAGTTCACCTTTATGGCCAACTGGTGCATCACAAAACAGGCTGCCACTTGTTGGAAGTTCAGGTAAGGATACTTAATATAGATGCTTTGACAACTGCTGTTTCTTTTAAATTGTGCTATATTTATACAATACTGTAACCATTAAGTTATACTGTAATCATACTGTGACTATTTTGGGAAAATTGTATTGGTTAACTTTTTGATTTGAATAGTCACCCTCTCCAAATTTGTAAAATTGTCAAATTCTGAAATCAGACACATGCAGAAGAAGCAGTGTCTTGCAAAAGCAATCTTTACATCCTGTCACGGAAAGAAAGATGTGCCTTCTAATCTGTTTCTTAAAGCTGATCATGAATACAAAGAGCTAATGGGGGTAAATAAAGGCCAAACAAATTAGTTAAAAATTGCTTTCAGATATATTACATGAATGAGGTCCACAGTGTTTACTACCAGTATGCTTTTAAATTATGCATGTATCGTGAACAGAACCTCTGATAAAATAAACTTCTGTATATTTTAGGTTCTGTTCTTGAAAATGAAAAGAAAATAAAGTCTATCCGTTTTTGTTCAGATAATATTGACATGTATTGACTTACCCAAAGGAATTGTTATAATGAATTGAATTGAATATTTCCCTGTTATATGTAACCTAATCTTTTGGGACCTGAATTAAACAGTTAATTCACTAATAAGTATATTTGATACTTCAACTCGGGTAATTAGTATCTACTCATATCATCAGAACCATCACATAGAATATGATGTAGTTCACAGTCTTTATACAGAAGAGGTCTGAAACTCAAGTGGCAGGATGATGTGTGTTAAATTTTAGAGGTGTAAATAGCTAGAACTTTTCTGTGGAGATGCCATCCCCAAATCAAGTGAGTCCTACAATTAATCTCTTGCATTTAGTAAATTGGTTAGTTTGAAGAAAAAGAAAAGAGTATATAGGGAAAGTCTTTGCCTCTTGTGTTGTAAAACTTCAAAAATATAGTTTACTCATGATGTAAAAATAAGACAGTACAAAACATGCCTTATACACTGAAATAATAATTTTCTCCTATTTAGGGTATCAGAAAAAGAGTACCTTCTTATTATTTCATTATCAGTGTCAGTCCAGGTTAATGTGCTGGAATTGTCTACAGTATTTTATTTAAGAACATATGATTTTGAATTGGTATCTAATATGTGTTAAAGAAACTAGGGCAACTTGATATTTATTCACTTATTGGTATCATTTGATATTTATTCAGAATTTATTCACTTTGAACTGAATTCGGGGTTTTTTTTGTTCTCCTCTAGAGTGTTGTCCCAGATCTAAGTTACACTGTTCGTTCGCCCATGTTGGATAAGTGGGAAGGAATTAAGCAGCTGAAAGCGGCCCTTTGGGCTTTGGTTAGTAACAAAGATATCTATCTGTATATAAGAATTTTTTCATGTAAAAGATTAAGTCTGCATCATTTCCAAAACTAAGGGAAGAAGTAGATACGTTTTAGGGAGATAAGCCAGTATGAGAGAGAATGTGGAATAGTTGCATTAGGATTGTTTTGGAGCCAAATGTAGGAGTTATGAGACTGAGTACGAGAGAGCAGCTAACCCTGATGGGATGGGAGGTGATGAGCATTTCTGTCACTCATTGGTATAAGGTACCTTCACCATAACACCTTCAGAAGTGAATCCAGTGCAATTTGAGAACAGGGCTAAGGTGATTACTAATTTAATGGGCCTCAGCCATATGTGTTAAGTAGGGTTATAAAGCGTCTGTTAGTAGTCACATATAAGAAATACTGGGGGGACTGGCTAAAACTTTTATAAATCTTAAGAAGGTTATAATAAAACTGTAGCCAAGGAACTTTTCACCTGATAATGTATTAGGGGGTTTATTAGCCCTGCCATGGGAGACATAAGCAGCTACTATATTTGATGGCAAATAATTTCATTCCAGGGCAATATTGGATCATCAAATTGGGGTCTTAATTTGCTTCAAGAGGAGAATGTGATTCCTGATATAATGGCCCTTGCACAGCATTGTGAGGTTCTGTCCATTAGGGGGTATGTATATTTACTTTTAAAAGTAAAATCTGTTCTTTTCTGAGAGTCCTAGTCCAGATTTCTTCTTCTGCCATTGCACTGGATCTCATTTAGTAAACATTATCACTGATAAAGTTTGGGGGATTTTTCAGAGTTATTTTAAAAAGTTTACTAGTTTATTTGCAATAAGTGTCATAGAAAATTGTATTGGGTGTAATCTATTTTTGGTTTTCTGAGCAGGTAGTTTAAAATATTTAGTTCTTAAATTACTACTGCTACTATGAATTTTTACTCTGGCATTTTTAGAAGTCTTATAATTTGGCTAAATTTGGATGAATTTTCAGCAGAAAGTATAACATCAGTCCAGCCTGTCTAATTTTGAGGCCCTGCTCCAGAGAATGCAGAATATAGTCTCAATAACATGATTCTTCCTTTACAGCTTTTATTGTACATAGCTTTGTGGTTTCACTTGAAACCTGAAATTACGCTGAGGTGGGTATTCAATGGGGTGGCAACTGCAAAGGGGTCTAATTGGGCATGGGACTGGTACCACAGAGCTGCACTGTGCTGTCCTCACCTTCTGCAGTGGAACCTGCTGCTCTGAGGCATCTGAGCTCATCTTTGTTGCAGAGGGGCCAGGTATCTGGCAGCTGCTGTGTGAAGAAGTCAGGGCAGAGACTTGCAGCTCACAGCAACAGCCCATTCAGAAACTCTAGCCTGAGCTGGCAGAAGGTTGCTGACTCCTGGCATGCAATTCTTCAGACTGAAGTGTTCTATTCTTGCAAAGTTATGAGCAGTTGGAAGTCAGGCTCCTAATATGTAAAGTCTGAAAAATATTAGCTACTGATAATGCTACTTTTTCAGGTTATAGTATTATGCTACTTGTTAGACACTTGGCTACTTTTTGTTTAGTTATGAACCATAAAACTTACAGGATGTAAAAACTGCCCTAACATGTCTGTAAGAATTTTAGTATTAGTCTTTTTCTGCTTACTTAAAAAAAAATCCTATGTTAATATAGCAGTAGTAAAGTTTTTGTAGTTATCCTCCTGACACTTTATTTGAATGGTTGTTTCCCATTATTCAAGATTATGCTTATTTCAGGTTAGTTTTTATTGCTCGTTTTTTTTTGTAGAAAAGCTGTAATCTGATGTCTACTGGATTATTCTGAAACTTTGATTTCTCATAAATAAGTTTGATTAAACTGGATGCTGTTGTTGGTTTTTGTTAAATGCAGAACCTGTCTCTACGTGCTTGGCCTTATAGCCAAAACTAAACAAGGTTGTGACATTTTAAAGCATCACAACTGGGATGCAGTGAGACACAGTCGGAGACAACCTTGGCCAGTAGTCCCTGATGACTTGGAGCAGCTCTGCAATGAACTCTCTTCTATACCCAGCACTCTTAGCTTGAACTCTGAGTCCACCAGTTCTAGGCATAACAGTGAAAGTGAATCTGCACCCTCAAGTAAGTATAACTATTATTCACTGTGTTGTGGTAAGCACCTCTTTACATGCTTGCAAAAGATGTTTAGAAAATGCTTTTTATGTATTTCTACACATATGCACTTAATGTAAATTATATAGATGTACTACAGTTCAGGTTTGTGAAGTTTTGTGGGAATTTAAATCAAGACTTATACAGCTAAATGTTCTATATTTGCATATCATTCAATCGTCCTAAAGAATGCATCATCAATTGTAGCACTGTTAATTGGAGGTCAGTCTGAGATTAGTACTTAGTAGAGTAGTACAACTGCATCTTTAAAACAATGAAATCTTCAACATGTTACAAGATTCCTAAAAAGCCAAGGAACTGGCAAACTAGGTTTTGAATTATGTATTTCAGTTGAGCCCAGAAACAGAATAATACAAGTAACTAAAGGAGCTGCAGTGCAGACTTTTCTTCCTAAATTTGAGTACTTGTGCTGACAATGGATTCATACAGGCATTATATTTCTACTGGGAGAATCACCACTTCCCTAGTAGAAGAACTACAAGTATACAAGTGTTCATTCTGTTTCTCCTGGAGGCAACGTGCCCCCTATGGGAGAAGGAACTTCCAGGTGTCAATCTGGAAGATCTTCCTTGTGAGACAAATTCTCACAAGAATGAACACTTGTATGCACCCCTCCCTGTCTGGTATGGGAAGAGAGGGAAGGGATGGGAACAGAGCAGTTGGGCAGTGTTCCCCACCTCTGCTCCAGACCAGGATTACCTGGTTTGGGAAACAGGCTGGGGCTTTTGCCCTGCTACTTCCCTCCCTTATTAGATTATTCCAGGAGGGCAGTGTTTTAGAGCAGGCACTGCTGCTCCCCACCTCTTCACCAAACCAGGGACTGTCAGGTGAGTGGCAGCTCAGCAGTGGTGGGGCCAAAAACTGGGATCAGAGAGACTATCCAAAAGTCCGGTTCCTGGCCCCTCTCACTTCCCCTTGCTGCCCCCACTACCTAGTTTGGGTGGTCTGCAGTCTGGGGAAACACGGAGAAGCTTTCCCACTGCTTCACTCCTTCTCACCCCGAACTGGAGGAATAGAGCAACCACTGCTCCCCATTCCTTTCCTAAACAGTGATCACCCTGGTCTTCAGAAAGCACGAAGAGCAGGGGAGAAGGGGTGGTACAGGGTGTGAAAGCCTGTATGCTTTGTCTCCAGAAACATTTATAGCAGTGGAAGTTTCTCAGTTTTCTCTCACTAGAAATAAATGCTTGTTCATGACCAATCTCTCCTATAATTGTTACTTACTTTTTTGGGAGAGGAGAAGTGGGGAAGGAATTACATATTGATAGGAAAAAGAACATTTTAGAAAATATAGTGAGCCATTATAAATTTATAAATGAGAAATAATTGCTATGTTATATAAATATATTCATAGGATACATAATAATAGTATTGTGTGTATTATTGATGATGTGAATATTGTTAATAATAGTGATGATGATAATATTTAGATTTGTATTCCTCTACCCAGGAAAGCTCAAAATGGCTTTCAATAACAAACAACCCCAGTAAATGTAAAACTACCCCACCCACTCCTCATCTCTGTCACCTGAGAGACAAAACCCTCCTGCTTAAACTTGGCTTCCCAACCCCCCCTCCCCATTTGCTTCTAGATGCATAAAAAAATCTCTTCCCATTTCTTCCCTCCTTTACCCTCCTACTCCCAGTCTCTTTACTCACACTCTTCCAGTGTCTCTCCCAATGTACAACAACACAGAGATAATTTTACTAGCACAAAATGACAACATAATTATTAACTCATTCTTAGTAATAAAAGGCAGAAACTCCTTATTTGTATTGACTGGCATATTGTGACAATTTACAGTAACATTTAGAGATCGGGATTAATATATACCCACAGATGTCTTTTGATCCTTAAATTGCTGAAAGTCAGAAATCCACTATAGACAAAGAAAATTATTAAGATTATGATAGGTATTATTTTCTAATTATATAATTACTAAGAACACACAAGATGAACATAGGTTGGGTGAATGTAAAAATTAAATTCAGTGTGTAGTGTCTCCCTATAGAGAAAATACATCTTTAAATCATTGCTAGGGCAGGTTTTGTTTTGTTCTGCAAAGACTGAAGGCCAACATTTCTAAGGCAGGTGGCTATGTAGTGTACAGTATATGCAAGACTCACTTGTGCAAGCAGTCTAGGCACTCTTATTTGAAAAGATCATGCTTACTACGTAAGAAATTAAATTCATTGTAAAGGTGAAATTAAAGTTGTCTGGGGGAAATTTTGTTAATACAGTTTACAAAGAAAAATGCAGTTTCAGGTTGTTCTCATGGTTATATATTAGCATTTACTACATCAGAGTTAAATTGCCAGCTTTTCCATGTAACAAATGTAAGACTCGGAGGGAAGGAAATTGTTTTCTAAAACAACAGATGTTAATTTTAAAATGACATCGTATACATAATGCTCCATGTCTGCTTGTATGTATTTATTTTAGAATTATGAATTGCATGGTTCACCTAGGTGATATTTCAGTAATTTTTCAATTTTTTTGCAATTTCTGCTTTTTTTTTTTAAGAAATATTAGCCTTCAGCAATGATAATCCTTCTTGAATTTCAGGTATGTTCATCATGGAGGATGACCGGTTTGGCAGTACTTCCACTAGCACATTTTTTCTAGACATTACAGAGGATGCAGAACAAACTTTTTATGACAAACCTGGACCTTTAAAGGATAACAATCGTAGTCCTTTTCCCTTTTTTGCATCGAGCAAGTTTGTGAAGAACCGCATCTTAAATTCACTTACCCTGCCTAATAAAAAACACAGAAGTAGCAGTGATCCCAAAGTGTGCAAACTGGCATCATCTGACAGTAAATCAGGCTTGAGAAGAAACCGTACAGTAACAGAACCTTCTAGCAGCATGGACTTCACTTCTGGGGATGTTTTCAGAGTTCCTAAAATCCAAACTTCACGCTTAGAAACGTCTTTTGCTGGGAGCAAGCACATGGAAGATGCAGGTAGTACCCCAAGTATTGGAGAAAATGATCTGAAGCTTCCAAAAGGTCTTGGAAATGAAAATCACAGGGAAAACGCAAGCAGAGAGAGACTAATAGGAGATGGTTCTACACAAACACACTTTAAGAGTCGTAGCTTAAGTTTTAATACAGATACCACAACAAGTGGCATAAGCTCAATGAGCTCGAGTCCTTCAAGGGAGACTGTGGGTGTGGACACTACAAACGTAGACACTGACTATGGAAGTTTGAGTACTGTGGTAAGTACAAAAACAGTTAAACCAAGTCACTGTTCAACACCACAGTCTAACCACCTGCCTCTTTCAAAATCAAACTCTGTATCCCTGGTACCACCAGGATTTTCTCACACCCTTCCTCGAAGGGCTCAGTCCCTTAAAGCTCCTTCCCTTGCTACAATAAAAAGTCTTGCTGACTATAACTTTAGCTACACAAGTTCTCGAGATGCCTTTGGCTATGCCACACTGAAACGCTTACAGCAACAGAGGATGCACCCCTCGCTGTCCCATTCAGAAGCCCTAGCATCTCCAGCAAAGGATGTGCTATTCACTGACACTATTACCATGAAGTCTGGCAGCTTGGATTCTCGGCTAACCCCAAGCAGGTAAGAAGCCTCAATAGTTAAATCTTTCATGAGTTTAGTAGCAAAGTATAGATTTCCAATAAAGGCAGGTGATGATTAGTGCCTAGGGATCCCAGTTTTCCTTGAAAACAGTACAGCTGTTAGAGAAATAACACATCAATCAAACATGTTAATTTCCTAATTGTCATTACAGGAGCCCACATTAACCATCCTAAGTTCTCTCTATTGGCTAGAACAGTTGCAGGATAAAACAGTCTCTTCTTGTATGCATGTTTTCCATTTTAGCTTTTTTATAACTTTAATATTACCACAATTGAATTTGTGCTGATTAGTTTGAACATTGTGTCTAGCAATATCTAGTGAGACCAGACCAAGTGTTCTCTGTTCGTTTCTATCTCTATGTCCTACTGAAATTTTAGAACATGGATTGGGAGTACTACCTTTATCCAGCCTAATTGTGTAAAGCCCGTGGGAGGATAAATGTTGTGTGAAATCCTGGTGCCATTATCAATGGGATTTTGCCATCGACTTCAGTGGGCCTAGGATTTCATGCGCAGGGGTCATTTCTAGATGCTGTCCATGGCTTCTCCTTTATCACTGAAAATGTTAGGTCTTTTCATACACTGATTAGATGACTTATGAGATACCTGGCAAGTGACACTGACAGTTTTGCTAGTTAGGAAGCCAAAATGTCAACTGCAAAAAAAAAAAAAAAAAAAATTCCTGGCGCACCCCAACTTTCATTTTTCATACATTTTTGTGCTTTTTCTTTCATGTCAATCTTAGCTAGTAGATATCTAATTGAAAGGGGGAAGGGATTTATTTTCTCTTGATTTGTCCCACTCTAAGTATCCTAGTTGATGTGAAGGAAGGGTGAGAGATGTGCTTGTTCTTTAGAGTCCTGTAGATGCTGCACACCAGTGGGCTAGACATTTTGCTGCTTTTGCTGTCCTTTTTGAGTTCACCATGAAAACTGCTTGCCTCACCGCTCATTGCTTTCCCAAAAAGCATGAAAGTGACATACTTGATAGTTTCAGTATTCTGAATAGGAGCCAGGAAAAATCAGTCATGTTCCTTTACTCTCATTCTATTTGCCACACTAAGAGTGGGATTAACTTTTATCACAGGAAACCTAGGTCTTGTCTGCTGTAGGTTTCCTGTGTAACCCTTAGTTTCTCAGTGTATTCATTTTTTCATATATAAATAGGGTTAATAGTACCCTTGCACTTCACAATGGCACTGTAAGTGTAAGTACCACAGTTTGTGAGGCAATGGAGGGACCTATCTGATTACCCAAAACACAGGTATGAGAGATGTCTTCCTAATGACTCAATAAAATGGTATGGTTTTAACTGTTATTCACATTCAGTGTCAGTTTCATAACAAAAACTAGGATTTTTTTTATTGAAATCATAGGTGATGTGGAAGTCAGAGTTCATATTTTTGCCAGCAACAGTAAACTTGTTTGTCAGGGGCCAAGTGGATTGTCCAATATCAAACTTCTAAAAATGGTCTAAAGTAACTGTACTAACAAACATGAAGTCACAATTTGAGGATCCAATATGTTACCACCTACTAAGGTTTACAGCCAAGCACCAGTGGAAAAAATGGGATTTGGGATATGACTAGAATTATCTCCTTGGTGATCCTGATATCACTCATCACATACGGAAGAAACCGTGAACAGTTGCTTTTTGGAGCATGCCTAGAGATAGTCTCAGGATCTGTTTTGGTACTGTCACTTCAACACCATTCTGACAACCACACACATTTTTTCAGCATATAGTACATGCAGTGTAACCTGGGGAGAAAAAGAAACACTTTTATGGGCTTCTTAGACAGCTTTGAAATGTTAGAATAGTTTTTGTAGAAAGATTAGTGGGAAGGAGGAAGGATGAGTGATAGTCAAAGGTACAGATTCAATTCTGTATATGGATGTCAACACTACATGTAAGAAGAAAAAAGCGTATGTATTTGTTTGCTTATATATGGAGCACACTTCATATTTTGTTCATACAAAATTATAAAAAGTATGGCTCAAAATGGCTTATTTTATATATGCAACAAAAGGGAATTTTGATGCAAGTATCTGTGTTAGAGGGGTGTGTGTGTGTGTACACACACATGCGCGCACACACATATAAGGGTTGTGTGAAACAGCACCCTTCTGTTTCGACAGGACAGTGTTTCATTTAGTTTCAAAGCCACTGTTCCATTTCGTTTGGTCGAACCTGTTTCGATGCTGTTTCAACGTTTTGTCCATAGGCTATAATGGGGAAGCATGAAACTGCATATAACTTTGTAATTTCTTACCTGATTCGGATGAAACTTGCAGGGATAGTAGCCCCTTCTGAGGATCAATCACTGGCCAGCTACACAGAGTCAATATGAGAGTGGTCCTTCCCTCCTCTTCTCCCTCTCCTTACCTTCTGTTTTCCGGCAGGCAAGCCCAGCTTGAGCTTCAAAACTTGAAACGTTTTGAAACTTTCTAAATGTTTCGACTGCCCTCATTTTCTTTCAAGGCTGTTTTGAAGCCCTTTCATTTCAATTTTGAAATGAAACAGCTGGCGAAATTTTGCACAGCCCTAATATGTATGTGTGTGTGTGTATGTATGTATATAGATTAGAAAGAATATACACATGCATTTTTTTATTCTAATATTCCTTCCAATCTACATACATACATACATACATACATACATACATACATACACACACACACGTGTATAGTATTGCATGTTCTTCCACTCCTTTTGGGGATTTTCTGTATGAAAACATTTTATAACATAATGGTAGATTCATTTGTGTGAACTTCATCAAATTACATTATATTATTATATAGATGAATTTGATCCACCCTTTCCTAACAAATGTGGAAATAAAGATTGTAGAGGGTATTCTTAATTACTGTACTGGCATAGTTAATTGAGAACATTATGGTTTAGCTGCCTGCCTTTTTCATCCTGTTTCAGAACAATTATATTCCATGTAATTATACTGTGATATCACTTACAGCTAAATTGCTCTTCTCTGTTGTACTTCAGTAATAAAATTGAAGATAATTTAATATTCTGCCACATTGAGTTATTCAAGACCAATTTTTCTATAAGGCTAGAAACCAAAATAGCATAAAAATCTAACTGCTGTGAAGAGACTGTCGGTCTTCACAGTGATCTTCTGTAATTCTTTGTCTGGTCACAAATTCAGACCTTTTGAGGACCCAGCAGCTTCTGCTAACTTACATGAAAACTTCTGGCTGCTTTTTACTTTAAGAAAATCAGGCTGATTTATTTAATAGCTCAAACATGAATTTAGGAAATTAAATTTGTCACAGTTTTATTAATAGTGTTTTTATGATTGAGTACAGTCATATATTCATAAAATTTAAATTGAAATCTGCTCAGATGTCCAAAATTTTAAGTAACATTCTGATTACTTACCATGTTTCCAGATTATCATCAGAGCCTATACCTCTAGCTACAGAGCAGTTTTTATGAAAACTTCATCATTGTTTACCGACACTGTCATTATATCTATCAGGTGTACCTTGAAAAAAATGCTTATAAATAGAAATCAATATTAGTTCTGAACTCTACTGCTGTAAATGGAGGTAATAATGGCAAATAGTCTCTTAAAATATTATAACTGTTTAGGCCCTGTTCAGTCATTGCAGAAGTAGTTGTTGAAGAGTAAGTACATAGGATGAATTTTAATTCTGGATTCTTCACTACTTGTTGGTATGAAGATTTTTAAAAATAAATACTATTGTGGATCTGTCCAATTCTGTATTCAGGTTTTTCCTTTAAACAATATTATGTGGAGTAATACACTGGCAAACATGAACAATTCCTTTTAGTCTCGGACTGTATCTGAATACACAAGCACAAAAGAACTGAAGCAGTGGAGCAGAGGAAACCATACTTTTGGCATTTCCTGACTTTTCTGTAGCTTAACTTTATAACCTTAATTTTCCTTTAGCCTAGACTGTAGTTTCCAGGGTTTGAGGAAGAAGGAGTTCCATTTTGTGGTATATTGGTGCTTGCATGGGTCAGAATACTAGGAACGGTGTGATCCATTCTGCCGCTTTGCCATTGGAGGTAGTGCAGTATCTGATAGTAGTGCAGACTGTTGTCCTCTTTTGGACCAACACTAAAGGGACATAAAACTGTGGGAGGCCAAAACCCAAGGTTTCCATTTAGTTTTGTTTCCTTTCTGTCTGAATTGATTGCGTCTCAGTCCGATCTCTCGTCCCGTCATCCATCCCCAGGACTTCTCGTTCTCTCTCAGTGTGCTCCCCTATCCTCCTAGACCCTTCTCCCACTCTTTGTCCAGTCTATGCCAATTCTCCCTCTGCAAGCTGACATCTGCTTTGTTTCTTTTCTATTTATCATTATCTATCATTTTGCTAAACAACTACCCTTCCCAGTCATAAATCATCTGTAAAAATACTCTAGCTCAGAGAAAATTTCACCCTGGCACTGAAATGATGAGATAACCATTTTCATCTCTTGTTGAAGCATTGAGATTTATTGGGCTTTGAT